ACCTCCGCGACCATGTCCTCCCAGGATATCCCTTCCAACGGCGACGACTTCGTTCCCCAGATGGACCAGCTCAAGCTCGACGATGGCGAGCGCCTCGGTCCAGACGGCGAGCCTGCACCTAAGACCGAGGAGGAGTACGCCCAGGCGCAGCTTACTCTTCGCGCCATCGTTTCCTCTAAGGAGGCCGGTGTCATCATCGGCAAAGGAGGAAAGAACGTGGCTGACCTGAGGGACGAGACCGGCGTCAAGGCCGGCGTCAGCAAGGTTGTTCAGGGCGTCCACGACCGTGTTCTGACCATTACTGGCGGCTGCGAAGCCATCTCGCGCGCCTACGCGATTGTCGCACAAGCCCTTCTCGAGGGTGCTCCTTCCCTCGGCATGGGTGGCGTTCCCCAGAGCAATGGCACCCATCGTATGTGACCAAAAAGCAACAAGCGTGCGCTGCATTGCTAACTTATGTCGGCAGCCATCAAGCTCCTCATCTCGCACAACCAGATGGGCACCATCATTGGTCGCCAGGGCTTGAAGATCAAGCACATTCAGGACGTCTCGGGTGTACGCATGGTGGCACAGAAGGAGATGCTCCCTCAGTCTACTGAGAGGATCGTCGAGGTGCAGGGCACCCCCGATGGCATCAGAGCCGCCATCTGGGAGATCTCCAAATGCCTCGTCGATGATTGGCAGCGTGGAACCGGCACCGTCCTGTACAACCCTGTCGTTCGTACCCAGCCTGGTAGCACCCCCGCTGTTGGCGGCACAAGCCCCAGCTACCCCTCTACCGGCGGCGGCCGGAGCCAAGAATACAGCAGCCCTCGTGTCCTGCGCACCGGCAATGGCGCCGATTTCAGCAGCAACGGTGGTGGCCAGCGCCCCTACAGCCGTCGTTCCGACTCAGACGCTGCCTCCCGTGGACCTCCCACTCACGATGAGAACGGCGAGGAACTGCAGACTCAGAACATCAGCATCCCCGCTGACATGGTTGGCTGCATCATCGGCCGCGCCGGCAGCAAGATTAGCGAGATTCGCAAGACGTCTGGGGCTCGCATCTCCATTGCCAAGGTAAGTTACATTGCTTGATTCAGCTCGATGCCCCCCTTTCACTCATAACTTAACACACAACGCAGGCCCCCCATGACGAGACTGGTGAGCGCATGTTCACCATTATGGGCACCAGCAAGGCCAATGAGTCGGCTCTCTTCCTCCTCTACGAGAACCTCGAGGCTGAGAAGATGCGCCGTAGCCAGGCTCAGACCTCTGAGTAAGCTTCTGCCATATGTATCTTACTCGATTCTGCGTTTTGCGATTCCCTGGGCTTCTTTTTCGTCGGATACTGCAAACCTCCGGTAGGGCGATATCCAGATCTGACTTGCCGCGAGGCTGCCCTATATGCTTGATAGGGAGTGCGGAAATCATACGACGTCATGACTTCTCCCTGAACTCATCTCCCACGGACCTCTTGACTCTTTCAAACACGAAACCGTATTCCTGGCCACACTCTCTCGTCCCTGCTCCCGAGGCTCGCTTTCCCAGCACCGGCCCTAGCTTCCCCGATCGAATCGAGCCTCGGCCTCCGCCTTCCGTAATCCACCGTCCGTTTCTTTTCATGGCTGCCCTGGTCACAGCTGCAACAAGCCCTCAACCTGACTCAACAACCGACCCTCGCAGGTGCACCGAAGACCGCCATTCCGCAGGCTATCGCTATTCGCTGCCCGAGGAGCAGTTTGACTTCGCTGGCCTGTGTGGGACGTTCTCTCTCACGACGTGATGAACAAAACACCACCTAACTCGAGATACCTCTCATACACCTTGGCTTCGGCATCTTTAATCGAACACTACACCCTGCTCCTTCTTTTCCTCTCACTTATCCACCTGCGCGCGCACACATCACAGACTCTCTCTCTACCTCTCTCTCTCCCTCTCTCTCGCTGTTACTACCTCAGACGGACACCCTGGACGTCTGTCTTTTTACCCCCATGTGCCAACATACCCAGAAAACCGGCCTCTCGCCTGATCAAGCTCATCAGAATATTGATGCACCCTGGCTCTACCTTGTCGAGGCATGCTCGGATTTCCTCGACAAATGGTGAGATGGGATTTATTTAGCAGACAACGAGGAAGTACAAAACTTTGAGCACCCGTCGTAGCACAACGTGAATCAAGTAGAGTGCGTGTCGATTTGCGAAATGCCTGCCTGTGGAGACGTGATAAGCCGAAAAGCCTTATCCGTAGATGCGGATCGAGGACCCTGAAGGCGCCAAGCATTTGACCCACATTAATATTCTGGGGATGGAGCTTCCGTTCCTGGACCAGGGATGAAGCCAACTGTCATCTCATGCGGTCCCCGCGATTCAACAATACTATAGAGCGTCGGCCCTTCGATTTTGTCACTGATTGTTACCTTTCTCTCTTCCATTTTCAGCCGAGACCGACTTCTCTGCATACCTTTCAATCCCCTTGGTTCATCATCCTTGTTGATTGCAAAGGACCAAAGAGCGCAAACACCTGTAATGGCGCGCACGAAGCAAGCCACGCCTCTCCGGCGCGAGACGTCTTCGGAGTACTTTAGCAAGAACGATGCTCTCAAGCGCACCGTCAGTGGCGAGTCGCCGAAGCCCTCGAATGGCGTGACGACTAAGGAAGTGCCCCCAGCCGTTGCGTCGCCGCCGCCAAAACAGGAGCCTGCTGCCGCATTCCAGGTCCTCGTCGCGACTGGCGGCATCTACATGTCCTTGTATGTTATGTCTTCTTGGCTCCATGACCATGTTCGCGAAGGGTTGATTGCTAACATGTGTCCCAAAGCCTGACATGGGCTTACCTCCAGGAAAAGCTCACGACAACCCCGTATGGACCGACCGACGCGCCCGAAGTCTTCCGCTACCCCGTATTCCTGAATACAATCCAATCGCTCTTTGCTGCCGCGACAGGCTTTCTATACCTCTACTGGAGCACCGCGCGAGCGTCCCGCGCCGCAGGTACTCCTCTCGTCCTCCCAGCGATCTTTCCGAGCCGACAAATCGCTCTTCCTCTCCTCCTTGTCGCCATCACGTCGTCTCTCGCCTCGCCCTTTGGCTACGCGTCGCTCTCCCACATCGACTACATCACCTTCCTTCTCGCCAAGTCCTGCAAGCTTCTCCCTGTCATGCTTCTTCAGACGACCCTCTTCGGCCGCCGCTACCCGTTGTACAAGTACCTCGTCGTGGCAGGCGTCACAGCGGGCGTCGCCGTCTTCACGCTGCACACGGGCTCGGGCAAGAAGAAGAAGCAGAGCGCCGCCAACCCGGACGCCAACACGGCCTGGGGCCTGCTGCTGCTGAGCGTCAACCTCATCTTCGACGGCCTCACCAACACGACGCAGGACCACATCTTCAGCACGTACCGCGCCTACTCGGGCCCGCAGATGATGTGCGCCAACAACCTCCTCTCGAGCGCCCTGACGGCCGGCTACCTCGTGCTGAGCCCCTGGCTCGTCCGCACCGGCCTCGGCGCCTGGCTCGGCATGGACGCCGCCGGCGGCGGCGGCGAGCTCGCGGCCGCCCTCGACTTCATGGCCCGCTACCCGGCCGTCTGGGTCGACGTCCTCGGCTTCGCCGCCTGCGGCGCCGTCGGCCAGGTCTTCATCTTCTACACCCTGTCCACCTTCTCGTCCGTCCTGCTCGTCACCGTCACCGTCACCCGCAAAATGGTCACCATGGCCCTGTCCGTCTTTGCCTTTGGCCACCGCCTCACCGGCATGCAGTGGCTCGGCGTCGGGCTCGTCTTTGGCGCCATTGGCGCCGAGGCGCGCATCGCCACGGTCGAGAAGCAGAAGAAGAAGGCGGCGGCGGCGGCCACGAAGGCGCAGTGAGCTGAGAAAAGGGGGGGTTCGTACAGAGTAGAGAGCATGCGTTGGTCTGCGTGGCATGAGCAGACCGCGTAAACTAGCCGTCGGGTGACAGCTGCATAGGCTGGCCGTGGGGGTGTAGACGGGGATCGCGTCAAATTGAGCATGGTTACGGCGTAAGGAGTTTCGATATAGCCGTGGTAGCCAAAACCCGAGACGGAATGGCGGCCTTTGAGGGTGCATAGAATATGTTGGAAGAGGGGGCAAGGGCGGAATCAATCAATATAACAGTTTTGGACCTCAGAAACATCACTCAAGAGCAATTAAAAGTTTAAACGAATGTAGTTTGCACACTTGAGGCGTGTTCTCATTTCTCAGGTATCTCCATCCCTACCATGCCGTCCTCCTGCTCGACCGGATGTATACCCCGCAGGCAAAATAGCCTCTACTATCCTAACCGTCTCTCCTGCTGCCTTCGGCATCGTCCCCTTCGTGATCCGAACCCCAGCCGGCGGGCAAAGCCGATGCGGCCATATGCTTTACTCTTTTCCCAAGGTCAACACGAACGCTGGCATCCACGGTACTGTGGGCTGTGCGATCGGGACTTCAAATACTCCTCTAAACGCCCTCCTATTACAAAACAAAGAAAAGGGGGAAACAACGCAAGCCTCCTTTTGCTCCGGCTTCGAATCATGCTTCGCAACCGGCAATTGTAAATTACGCATTGGTGTGTGAGTCTTGTTTGTCTCTTGTCGCAATGAGCTAACATAAACCCCATATTCGCCGCCCGCTGTGCTGCAGAAACCTGCACGAACAAAGGAATGAGAAAGTCAATGAGCGATGGGCGCCATAATATGCCTCTTCGGAGTAGTTGCGAGTCCATAGAAGATCAACTTCGGTGTCCTCTTTCAGCTCAACATCTTCATATCTCAAAGGATTTCGTCGATGGACCGAACGATGGGTGTTTCGCCCTTCGTCGGCGGGCTCCTAGGGTCGGCAACTTGCGGCGGGCGAGCGAACGGAAAGTGAGGGTCACGCGGGAACATGGTTTCCCGCGGCGAGAAGAGACCGTCGCATGGTGTTGGTGGCACCTCGACAAATTGCATGCCCGCAATATTGTGGCATGGCTCATGCAGCGGGTTGTTGGTCATCGTCTCAGCCCGAGGCGACATGAGGGCATCGTCCTCTGGAAAAGCGCCGAGTGGTGTTACCTCGTGTTCGATTGGCGCTGGCGGGCCCATTGGCCTAAGCTCGGGCGAGGAGCCTAGATTGAGACTCGCAAAGGCAAACCCAGCCTGCGATCCGAATCGATGGCTACCGAACCCAGGAGAAGGCGGGGGCTTCATCATCGTGCTTTGCGGCTTATCGTTCGAGACATCGCGACCAAAGATTGTAGGCTGGTTAATTGATGGCAGTAAGCGATCGAAATCGAAGTGGGCAGGCTTGCCAAAGTCCTGTTTCTCTGCTGCTGGTGAGCAGCAAAAGCTTGCGGGGGCCGAGTACGCCTTGATAGGGTTCGGCCGGTTGTTGCTGGGGTTCGAGAATCTGCGCGCCCTCCTTGGGCTGCCATTACCAGCGACGCCGCCCATTGAGTTCTTCTCCTGCTCGTTGGGAAGAGGAGCGGTCCTGGGAGCGGTCCGTGCCTCCTTTGCTGGACTCTCGATGGCGTCGGCGGAGAGGGTCAGTCGATGCTTGGTTGGGCTCTTGCCGGAGCGAGGACGGAATGCGGAACCAGGCGCAGGCTTTCTCGCAGACACCTCCTTCTGGAAATCTTGCAGGCAGTACATTAGCTTCATGTTGGGACTGATCCACTTGCTCTTCGCCTGAGCGGCATAGTAAGCATCGTTGACACTGAGCTCGGGCTTCTTGTACAGTCCGTAGGCGATGATGAGACTGGCGGAACGACTCGCGCCCTGCTGACAGTGAATCAGGACCTTCTTGCCCTCCCTCGTCCTCGACTCGATCGTCTCGCAGAGCTGCATGAGGTCTTTTGCGATGTCCGTATTGTGGTCCCAGAGCATGTGTATGTACTCAGGCTGCTTCTGGGGAAATCCGGCGGCCCGCGGCGTCGTTGGAGTATCCATGAGGCGATCGTCTGAAGGTTGGAACTCAAATGCTGTCGCAAAACTGGCGCTGGTCACCGCGGTATCGGGAATGGGGCTGTCGTCGGCAGCCTCCATGGGCCTGTCGGTCATCTCGTGGTCCGCTTTGTGTGCAGCGCTGAATGGATTGATGACTTCACGTGCAACATTGATGACCGTGTCGAACTTCGCTGCCTCATCCGCAGATGGCTCGAGATACAGGAAGACATTGTCGTCATAGATAGCGATGGGGCCGTCAGGGTACCCGGGTGTCTTTTGGTCTTCGTTTTGTTCGATCTCATGGAAGGGCTCGGCATCCATGGCGGCTCGGTTGGCCATTTGAGTTCGAATTGGCGATTCCTCCTCAGTGATGGGTGCCTCAAAGGTCGCGCCAACGCCCGTCCTCGTTGGCCTCAGAAGCTCGGAAAGCCCTGACTCGTTGCGCTCAAGAACCTTGGGGAAACTCATGCCTCCGATGGGTCCTAATGACGCTGACTTGAGTCCCGTCAGCATATGGGGTGATGAGGTCGAGTGTTTTAATGCGCGTCGTTGCAAGATGGGTGGCAGAGCGGGCGTGCTAGGGACTTCCAGAGTGGTTCTCGCGATGAGATCGTTCGAGTTCGTCTTGAGGCTGAGCTGGCTAGGTTTCCTCTTCATTCCGGGTATCGTAGGCTTGATAAAGGACGGCGAGGCAGGTTCGGACGTGATGTGGTTCGTCGTGTTGACGACGCCCGTGTTGATGCTGGGTGGCTGAATGGATAGGCCCTTCATGTTTTTGGGGCGACGGGGGGCAGGAGATGTCATGGGTCGGCCTGTGCTCAGAGCACTTAAGCTTTCTGGAATGGTGAGAGTGTTCAGGGGCGGTAGAGCGCCGAAGGATGTTGCGGGGAAGGACGATAAAGGTATGAGATTGATGGGCGAATCGGGAGAGGAAGACGGCGAGGGGTCAGACAAGGAAGACGAGTCGGTTATGGACAGAGTCGTCGTCGGCGACGACTCTGCTGATTCGGAGGCCTGTGTCGATGTGCTGTCGTGGTGCTTGTGGTGGATTGAATCGGAAGGTATTGTGGCGGGACGTAGATGTTGCGAAGGCATGGGGTTTCCGAGCGATGGAGCGCACGAAGTCTCCATCTCGATCATCTTGGGGTTGACGACCGTGACCGTGTCACGGTCTGCCATGGTCTCCGCGTCCAGGTCAAAGACGGCCATGAAGGGTGGTATCTGATCCTCGTAAAACCGCCTGGCTGCGGCCGAAGGCATGATTCACAACTGGCGCGAGCGAATTGAATGCTCTCCGGACAGTCAAGTATGTATGTCGAGTCGTTGATGAAATGGGTCGAACGTGTTAAGGAATATTCGCTGGATATGGGTATTAAGGAGTGGCGTGCGAAGAGATGGCTGGTGGGTAGTGGTGGGCGGACAGCACTGCTGAATCCTGTAGTTTCTTCTAGCTTCGCACCAGTTCGCGTTGTTGTAAAAGGGCAAGGGGTGCCCGTGTGTTCTGGGACTGTTTCTCTCTGTTCTGCTCCGTTCTTTGATCGACAACAAGGAATCGACAATCGAGGACGCTGTCAGTAATGATACCAGCACTGAAAGCCGCCGAGGGTGTGGGGAGCGAGGCGAGGCGAGACGGTCGAATCAATCGCGATCGAGGTCGTGGAAGGCGTACTAAGTTTCTCGTGGGATCGAGGGTCGAAGGAAGAAGGAAGAAGACAAGCGAGAAGGGATGAACAATGACTCCAACCGAACACAACCCGTCTTGACTGAGAATCTCGTGACGCCGTCACAACAAAGGCATGGCCAGGCTTTCGGGGTTGAAGTGGAAGAAGGTGTCGGGAGGAGGAGGGAAGGTCGAAGTGGTGGGTGAGGATTCGTGAGAGAGAGGGATGAACGAACAAGAGTGGGAGGGTGTGTCAGGGACCACAGGCAGGCGGCACGAGCAGCAAGAGGATACGGGAATGGCTGGCTTGCAAGGCAATTGGGGGCACAGCCATCGGCGCTGGGTACCTACCTAGGGTAGGTACTAAGGAACCTAGGTAGGTACCTACCGTACCTTGGGTAGTAGCATGGCCGCATGGGCACGTCGGTCGCTCTTGGCCTGTGAGCGTGCTCTGCCCCGTACCTGTACCGTACGGGTGCGGGCTCGGCCTGCGCTACAGTACGGGTTCTGACAGACCAGCGCTGAACGTGCCGCTGCGCTACTTGGACTACGAACAGGGGGGGAGGGGGCGCCCGGGGGGGTTTGAGGCAGCAGACAGTGGACCAGGGAGAAGGGGGGGGGAGGGGAAAAGGGCGAGGCATCAGGGGACAGGGGGCGCAGGGGCTTCCATCCTCAAGTTGCTAGGCCTACCGTAGGCCCCAAGGGAGCTTAGCGCCGAAGATGGCCACCTGGGCAGTGGGAACTCCAGCACTTCGATGACCTGATGCGCTGATTGGCCAGGTCCGTTCGTTAAAGCGGATCCGGTCGAGGTGGATGCCACCCGCCTGCGGCCTGTGACTGGTCAGCAACTGCAGAACGTGTGAGCCACCCTATTTTTAGCCCTCTCGGTCGTCGAGCAGGAGCGCAGCTGGCGGCAACATCAAGCCAATGAGCAGCCTTCGTATAAATTTGGCCAGTCAAGGATGCAGAGTGGATACACTCAGTGGCGCGTCATCCTTCCATCCTCGACGACGAGCTCCCCTCGCTCGCTCGTTCTTGGGATTTTAGCTGGCGCACTCAATCCGCAATGGAACCTTGGGCCTTGGTCGCGCACATCTAGAACACTTGGCCTTTTGTTACGAATCATTCTACTTAGTGCATGTGTGTGGTGAGCACCACGAGCACAGTGCATCCCCCCCCCCCCCCCCCCCCCCAAAAAAGGGAGAAAGCTCGTTAACCCCCTCTCGATGAAAAACCCTTCTTCCCCTTTTCGGGGCTGGACAAACCTGGGGAAACCATTCGGGGGGTCCGTCATCGAGAACGACCCATCTAGGAGCAGCAGCAGCAGCGGCAGGAGCAGCAGCAGCAGCAGAAGGGGGGCAGCCCGGCAAAAGCGAAAACTGGAAATTGCTCTCCTGGCTTGCGGCGGGGGCTGGCCTGGTCACAGGAACTCAACTGAGAACTCGCCCAAGGATCCCTCCTTGACGGCATCACGTGGCCATACCATTAATACGGCCTTGATATG